CCATTTCTCTCTGTGGCTTCTGATGTGTCACTGTTATATACCACTGTGGAACGCAGAGGGTGGGCTGGGGAGGGAGGGGACGTGACACCAGCCATCACTCTTTCACAAAACACAAGTTCTAAAAGAGTACTAGATTTATAAGCAAATAAGTCCCAAGAGGCCCAGCCAGGGAACAAAAAAAAAAAAATCATGGGGTTGAGATGACTGTGCACAGGTCAGAACCAAAGAATGAAGAAGGAAAGATGGTATACCACATCCCTCCCTCGTGGACTAACCACCTTGACTACTATCAAACCTGACTGAGCTCAAGACCATCTCACAGCTTTTGCTTTCCCATTTAAAAATAAAGTCAAGTAAATAAGACATGCCAATAAATGTGATCGACACATGGAGAAGACTCACAGCTAATATCCCAATAAGCACATTTATATTGAATCTTGGTAGTTTCAATTGCATCTCTGCTGGGACAAACAGCATTTTGAACACAGTGGACATTTGGGAAACAGGAATGCATCAAATCGGTGGCATTCTACACAAGAGGTTAAAGAAACACTGTCCTTTCCTTGCTCCTCTATTGTTCCATCTTCGTACATCCCTCAAACTGTCCTGAAATCACTTTTTCTTTTTCATTCCCGTTACCACAGTCATTCCGAGTAATTATCATGTGATGCCTCAAATACCGCAATACTTACCTAGCCAGTTTCTGGGCTTCTAGTTTATGAGATTACTCTTCCTAAGCATCCCCAAGCTCAAAAGCCTTCATTCATTTTCTAGTGCCCTTGGGATAAAATTCAAATCCCTCTGCTGACATTCTGCGCTCACCACAATTTCATCTGATGGTGGCTCACCAACTGTTTATAACCTCAAAAGGAAGACTACTTGCCTCCAAGCCAGGGTCCTCTCTTGCCTTTGAGGCAACCTGTGCATTCCTGCAGCCATCACTTTGATTTGCAGTCCACCCACCCCATCTCCCCTAGAATGGGTCTCACACTTTCTTTCTCCTCTTCATCTTTCCACGCTCCTGCGGTTTCAGAGGAAGTCCCACCTTTCTCCATCTGACTTTCTCTGTCCTGAGGGAGACTCCAAAGGCTCAGCGCTGCCTGTTTCAGTATCTCCACACATTTCAGGCCGTTAGTCTGATTTCCTGCCACACTTCACTGCCTTGTCTCTTTGAGGTCATCTCCATTTATTCATTAATCCATGCCTACATTCATGATCATTCACTGACTACCTGTTATGTGTCAGGTACCAGGCAAAGACCTGCATATAGATAGATAAACAGGAGTCTGTTGTCAAGATTCTCCTAATCAAGGCCAGGGATTTAGCTCAATGGTTCTACCCCCTGTCTCACAAGCACAAGGTCCAGAGTTTGATCCCTGGTACTACAAAAAAAAAAAAAAAAAAAATTC